CGTATTGAAGATTGCAGTCCTTCACCTTCTGTAGTATCAAATTCTTCAGGTCCTCTTCAATTGCAACAAAAGTTGTGTCATCTGCATAATGCAGGTTGTTGATGAATTTTCCTCCAATCCTGATGCCACATTCCTCTTCAAACAGTCCAGCCTCCCGGACAATCTGTTCCGCATATAGATTGATGTATATATATGTTTGTATATGTGTAATATATGCGTGTGTGTGTCTGGTTATCTATATCTGTGTATTTATATATATGTAGTTTCAACACTGGCTATAAATATAGGAGGCTCTGGTGGCCTCGTGCTAAGAAGCTGTGCTGCAATCCCAAAGGCATGTGGTCCGAGTCCATCAGTTGATCTGAAGGAAAAAGGTAGGTAATCTCCATCCGTGCTATTTATTGTCTCTCAAAAACTACTGGAGGGTCAACTATGGCTCTGTTCTGACTTGAAGACACACAACAATAAATGATATCTGATGATTTATTTGGTGGAGAGTTGCACTGCCCACCCAAAGCCACAATTACTCTGAGGTTCAAATCCACCAGCTACTTTGAGGGAAAAAGATGGGCAATCTCTTCACATGTAATTGATAGCCTTTCAAAACCTGCTGCAGAGTCAGCTATGAGTTAGCTCCAACTTGATGGCAAAGAGTTTGAGTTTATATGTACATGCATATGTGTGCTGGCTATCTATATGTACACGTTTGGATGTGTATATATATCTTAGTATTTATCTCTATCATCTCTCTTCTGTCTCATCTACCTAATCATTGGAGGCTAGGATTTTGACGCTCTGTTTCACTTACTTAGGGCATGTGGCCAGGAGAGATTGGTCCTTGGAGAAGGACATCATGCTCAGAAGGATGGACAGACAGTGCAGGAGAGGGAGACCCTGGATGAGATGGATTGATAACAGTAACTGGGGCAATGGGGGTCGGTGTGTCAGAATTAGTGAGACCGGCTCAGAACAGGGAAGAGTTCAGAGCTGTTGTACATAGGGTTGCTATGCATCACAAGCGACTCAACAGTAAGATTCGATTCCAGGTTTGGAAGAGCAGGAGTGGCATCCACTTCCTAAACAACTTGCCTCTGCAAACTCGTATGGACTTTGATAAATGTCTGTGGTTGTAGAAGGGCTTCTGGCCTTTTGTTTATAGGGTTGCTATGAGTTGTACTCAAGGCAATCAACAACAGAAAAGGGGACATGCTTGTTCCCTTAAGAGTATTGGTTTGATAGGGATGGGCAAATCAGAAATTGGCTATCTAAAACAAGGATATTAAGGTGAGTGGCATGAGTAGCCGGCTCACACCCTTTCACAAATGTAGTAAGATGATTTAAGGAGAAAATACCCCACAATATATATGAATGAAATACAATGTAAATGAGTTTGTATAAAACACAATGTATATGCAGAAATAGTGTGATATGAATGATTGTATATAAACCAATAAAATATGTAAAAAATATTTACAGCCTCAGAAACCCTTTGTTCAGACTGTGTAAGCAGACTTGCGATGTCCGAGTTGGCTGGGTCCTTTGTGGTGTGGCCAAACTGGGAGTGGGACTTGACCAAAGAGGTGGTCACACCTGTTACTCTCACACCACATGACCAGAGCCCGGTGCCCTCCACACAACTCTCCCATTTATGTTGTGGTATGGAGTCCCCTTAATACCCTGAAGACATTGTGCTGATTTTTATGTTTTTGCTAGGGATAAGGAACTTGTTCAACAAAATTTTGAGAACCTTCACTTTATATTTTCATAAAACGAACACTCAGTACATAGTATAACATGGTATGTTCTGCTGTGAGTGCTATTACTACCATCCATGTCACAATGGAGGAAATGGAGGCCAACGAGGTGATGGCCCTGGCTTGAGGCGGCACGGAGTAGCACCTACACCCAGGAGCTGGGGAGCACCAGACAGAGCAAAAACACACAGGCTCCCACTCATGGTGGCCCTGGGGATTTCAGATACTCATCTATGGAATGAAAGCCTGGTCGTTTGAACACCCCCAAAGGTTCTTCAGAATAAAGCCCTGGTGAAGTACTTCTAACAGACCCAACACTGAAAACTACAGGGCTCAGGGTTGCCCTGACACAAAGGGAGTCAGTCACTATGACTTGGGGGGAAGTACTGAGAAACATGAGAATATGTTCCCTGTTGAAAGAACAAAATGGGTGTTTGAGCCTTAACTTTTTCATAACCTGCTTTTCACTTGAGGTCTCAAAAATAATCAGTTCTGAACAGTGTGGCTTTTATGTAATTACTTAACCAAAGCATGTCTAACAATTTCCAATTTTTCCACTAGTAATAATAATTTAGGGCTAGTCTGATATTCCATAAAGCTAAGACTGTCTTATAATGGAGTTGCAAGTCCAAGTTGTTCTCCTTTCCAAAGTTGGGTGGATTAAAACTTCCCCACATGAGGCTGCACTTCTTTCTGCTCCACAATTCTGGTGCAGAATTGAAGCTGATGTTGTCGAACCTCCTCCTAAGAGACTCTTGGTTTGTCAGCAAGTGAAGCCAGTGCTTGGAAGTTGGAGTCTGCTTTGGAGATGAAGGCTGATAGTCCCTGGGTGCCAAGGGGAGCTGTGGAGAGGGCAGTCTTGGATGGGCCGAGAGCCCCAACTGGATCTACTGAATTAGTTCTTTATTTGTAAATGCTACAAGACACTATGGTATCAGAAATCCTGTGTAATCTTGGGCCAAGATACTTCAGGACACTTATCCGACAAAAGGTAATGGAAAAATATCTACATGATCAAGTACAGAAGCACTAGATACAACTCTACATAACAGAAAATCCCTCACACCACAGAAATGTGCTAAGGAGGTGGGGTGGCATAGTCCCTGGGCTGCCAACCAAAGGCCATGCTTAGTGGCTTAATCCATCTGCAGGTCAGCAGGAGAAAGGTGGGTAGTCTCCTCCCCTCAAGATCTAAAGCCTTGGAAATCCGACGGAGGGTCACAATCAGTTGAAACCCATTTGATAGTATTATGTTTAGAGTTTGAGAACATATTTTATGAGTATCTACTTGAGTGGATTTCCTGCCTCTGAAAACCTGCTAGAGAGTCAGCTTTTGAGTTGGTTCCCACTCAAAAGTGCTGAACATCAGCCCAGGCAGTAATACAAAAAGCAAGGGAACTGTTAACACAATTATAAAAAAACACACACCACCACCCAAAGCTAAACTGGTAACCTAGATGAGAAGGGTCAAGAGGGAGGTGACCTGGAAGCATACTGGGTGTCTGTGACTTCCAAGCTGCCCACAGACTGCCAACAGGTAGGTCTTGGAGACAGATCACTCCTTGGATGCAAAGATGATGAGGCTTTGTCTTACTTATTTTACCATGTTGCTAGAGAGGTTATTCCTTGGACAGGGACATCATGCTTGGGAAGGCAGAGATAGTGGAGAGGAAGACCCTCAACCAGGTGGGCTGACACAGTGAGTGCAGCACTGGGCTTGAATGTGTCAGACTGTGCGGATGGCACAGGCTTCAGATCTGTTCACAAAGATGCTAAAAGTTGTACTCGACTTCCAAAGGAAGGCACAGAAAAGCCAACGGGCACCGCTCTACTCTGATAAATAGGCTCTTCTTTCATTAGTCTTTAAACTGTACAGATGTTTTAGCCACACATTTCACAAGAAGAAAGATTAGACAAAACATCCCATGAGAGACCTCAGAGGAATCATTAGAAGAAACATTTCAAATGTGTTAAGAAATATTAGTTTTATTTAACCAGTTTTCACAGCTGAATATTTATTCTATAAAAACTTTACAGATTGTACAGTTTATATATAGTTCAAACTACTGAACAAAAAAAGTAGGTCCCACAGATGCAAAAATACTGTACCAATCAATCCCGGGCAAAGGTAGATTTACAGACTGCACGGCTCTCCATGCCGTCGGGAGGCGGTCAGCTCTAAGTATAAACTCCAAAACTGTACAAAAATAAGGTCTGATTTGATTTCATTCTTCATACATTCAATATGATTGCAAGCTCAGAAGCCTAACTAGTAAAAGGCATCTGGAGCCAGGAATCAACACCTTCCCAGAGGGAAGGCAGAATGTCTATGTACACAGGGCACTCTCGGACACCATACTGTAGACAGTATACTGTGTAGACATAAAAGTGTAGACAAAGAACATCAAGTGTCTAATATAAGGTAGTTTATTTTCTGAAAGGAGTTTCTGCATTTAATAGTGTGCCAAAAGAATTTTTAACTTATTAAATAAAATATATTCTAAGTGAACCTAAAAATTACACATTATAAACATAAAAAATACTTCTTTTTGGTGTAATACATCAATTATATCTGCAAATAGAAAAAACCAAAATTGTATATAAAGTAGTTAATTTCTCACCCAGTAACAAGAAGCACTTATGTAGTTATTTTTCAAAAGGGTCAAAGAACTATTTAATATCTGCTAAGACTAACTCATAACTTAAGATATTCAGACTTAAGCTATTCAGTGATTCACTAATACTGCAAAACAAGCCTTCTTCTAGGGGCACTGGCTCCTTCACGTTAACTGGGTAAGAAGTGACATCTTAAAAAGGAAGGGGCCAGCTGACGCCTCGGCAGACCCTAAGCGGACCTTCCGTTTGGGTATGACCACTGGGGACTTTTCACTAAAAGTCATCTGAAAAGAGAAGTCTTCCTTTTGATCTTAAATTTTCCACCTCTGAGGTATAGGTGCCTTCGTGGAGACAAAGACAGTATCGCTGATCTCCACAGCTATCTGGACAGGGAGGGGAGGCTGGCTGATACCCCTTTTAGAATTTGTATTCTAGAAGAAAAAAGAAAAATGAGAAAATGACATTATGCTAGACTTCTCTGCCATCTAAAGACAGCAAATCAGAATTCCTTTTTAGATAGTACTAGCCAGAGATAACAGAAATGAGCTTCGAAGAGCAGTGTAGTGCTCACCATTCCAATTCCATACTTTTGTGTACATTGTGTATAAAATAATGACATTTGAACCAAGGAGCTTTGTAGTTATTTATTGTAATGTTACAGTACTTAAAAACTCCTTGATAATAAATAGCTTGGCAGTTTCCAGTCCTTGTTCCAAGCATGAGCTATGGGTAAACGCATTTCAGGCTATGAGGGTGGAGTGGACGACGTGGTGCCGCAGAGCTCCTGCGACAGACAGTTCCAGTGTCGTTCTGCAGGAACTCTGACAGTCAGAATTCATCGATTTTCCTCTGTAGGTATTTCAGCATGGAGTCCATCCCTTGGGCTGAGCCCCAGATTTTCTTCAGCACTTCACATTCCCTCTCGTTTGCCTGCTCCAGCTCCATTTTCATGTTACAGCGCACAAGGGCCTTGGATTCCTCCAGCACCTAGACCAAACAACAAGCAGAGAGGTGTGTGCATGCACTGGCCCTGCGGGGTCCCTGTCATGAAGGCAGGCAGTCCTCCAACTGAGCCCCGTTCACCACACATGTCAGGCCTACCATCTGAATAAAGTATATGTCACCTAAGATACTGGGTACATTCTCGGTTCCAAACAGACTCCTAGAGTTATTAGAGAGCTCTGTGGGCTAGTTCATAGGGAGATGCTGTGCTGTTAGCCCAAAGGCTGCGCCTCTCTGAATCCCCTGGCAGCTCTATTTGAAGAGGGGCCATCTGCTCCTGTGCAGTTCACAGTTTCAGGAAACCCAACGGAGGGTCAGCTTTGAGTCGGTTCTGACTCAGTGGCAATGACAGAGAGAATGAATTCCTGGGAGCAGGACTAACTGCAGCTCTGGCCCTCACTCAGAAGGGCACCAACCTTCACTCCATGCTGTGGCTCCTGCTTTGTCGGGGCCCCAAACTGGACACCAATTCTCTTTAGATGATCAATGAAAATGACGAGGAACCAAGTTTAAAACAAAGGGCGAGGTTTCATAGGTTTGCCTGATAGTTCTGACAAACTATGCCAGTTAATGTTAAAATAACAGTGCCTCCTGCCACTTGCTAAATACTGGCAGAAAAGTAACTATTTGCAGCACATTGATTAAACAAAAACTTCCTCTACTGTAGGGGGCTAAATGAAAGACAACTCTATAAAATGAGTAACTATGAATACTAGCTTCTGTAAACATGTACACCTTGCGGCCATCAAGTGGATTCTGGCCTCACTGAGGGGTCATATTGAGCCCCACGGAGTCCCAAGGAGACTGATCATTTATCCCATAGATTAGCGAGTGAGTTCAAACTGTAGCCCACTGATTAGGAACCTGACATGCAATGACCACGAGGGCTCCTTGTAAACGTGCATATAAAAACATCAAAACCAGAACAAAAAACGAAATCCATGCCATCAACTCCTCTAATATTAATGTGGTTATATTTATGTGCTGTCGAGCCAGAAGCAACTCAACGCTGACGTTCCAGTAGGTTTTCAGAGGCTGTAAATGAAGACACTGCTCATCTTTCTCCTGTGGAGCAGCTGGTGGATTGGAACCTTGTGCCTTTGGGTTGGCAGCACAACTCCTTACCCACTATGTCACCAGGGCTCCCTTGTAACATACATAAGAGATGTTAAAATTACTAAATTTAAGGCAATACCACTAGATGAACATTCTTTAATTCTTGTATTTTCAAAGAGAGAGCCATGGTTATTTCTCTTATCAGGATTTCTGTTGAAAGTGAAAGAATACATAGGAGATGCTACTATATACGTGTGAGTTCTTATGGCTGTGTGGTAAGGAACTGCACTGCCAACACAAAGATACAAAATACAAATCCACCAGCTTCTCCATGGGACAAGGAGGGCAATCTCTTCTTGTGTGATTTACTGCCTCTGAAAACTAGCTGGAGGATAAGCTATGGGTAGGTCCAACTCGATGGTATACAACAATAACAACAATAAAAATTGTATTTGTGTTGACTCTGAGGAGGTAAAGGTCACATGTTAAAAGTCACATATAAGAAACTTACAACTGGATTACATGAGGCAAGTTCCTTAATCCGAACCATCACTTCCTGTGTGAACGTTCCTGGCCAAAACACCTGGGAGACCAGTCCTTTACCACATGCTTCCTGCGCAGTCAACTTCCGCCCACTGAGCAACATTTCATTTGCCTGAAAGAGAAATTCATGTTGATATGAATATGATCAGTGTGTACAATTAGATCAAGGATAATAAAGACATAAAGAGCTATTTAAGAATCAGGCAGGTTATTGGTAAATGCTGTAACTTAAGTAGTAGTAATGAACTTGAAATTCATGAGTGATTATACAGGAACATACGCGCGTGTGTGTGTCTGTGTGTGTATGCATGCATAGGTCTATCTGTTGTTCAGTGCCAGAGTCAACTATAATTCATAGCCACCCTATGGACAGCAGAATGACACTTTTCCTGAGCCACCCTCCTGATCTCTGATGTGCCTGAGCTCATCGTTCAGTCTCTGTGTCAGTCTCCCTTATTGAAGGTTGTCCTCTCTTTTGCTGAATCTACTTTTCCTACCATTCTATCTTTTCCCAAGGACTGGCTTTTCCTGACAACATGCCCAAAGTGTGTGAGATGAAGTGTAACCATCCTTGCCCCTAAGGTGCCCTCTGCTCCCAAATCCTCCAAGACAGATTTTTTTGTTGTTTTGACTGTCCAAAAGAATGGTGAAAATTCAAAAATCTTTACCAATACCACAAATGATGACTTTTTTCCAATATACAGAGGCAGTCTTTTAATGCCAGTGAAATGCTGGATGATGGAACTTGGAGTTCACATTTTTTGCCTCTTGGATATTAAATTATTAAACTATTCAAGACTTGGGTGTGTCCCAAGATCATCATCTGTTAACATCTCTGCCAGGTTGTTCTTCCAATCTGGACTCTCATTTCCAATCTTTCGATTAACAATTGAACACATTAACTCCACCACCTAGTGACTTCAGTGTGATATTAAGAACCCCCAAACCCACTGCCACTGAGTTGACTCTGATTCACAGGGACCCTGAAGAATGGAAGACAAATGCCCCATAGGGTTTCCAAGGCTGTAAAGTCTTTAAAAAAGTAGGCTGCTCATCTTTCTGAAACAGAAAAGGCTAGATTAAAATCCCTGACCTTCTGGCAGTCTAATGCCTCGTCCATAGTACCATCAGCACTCCTAATAGGACTCCTTTCCATATCCCCCTTTCTGAGTTTATACACACATTACTTAGGGAAAGGAAACGTGGACCTATCTTGCCTCAAGCTACTGAAGGGTCATACTCACAAAATGCCCACAGGAAAAGCTTTACCACTTAGGCAGTCACTTAATAAGGATGGTCACAGTTTAAAGCACCTCACATTCATTTACTTTCTATACACAAAGATTTCTTCCCCTTGCTTTGGTTTCTCTGCGCTCTAGTGCAATATTCAGAGTTTCTTCTGACATCCATCTTGGTCTTTTCTTCCTCCTCTGACTTCCTTTTGCATTCTTCATGGTTGATATTCTTGATATCCTCACATAGCTCATCCAGTCTTCGCTCATTAATGTCCAAGGCCTCAAACGTGTTCCTGAAATGGTTTTGAAATTCAGGTGGGATAAACTCAAGGTTAAATTTTGGTTCCTGTGGACTTAATTTTCCTCAGCTTTAGCTTGAACTTGCATATGAGTAGTTGGTGGTCTGTTCCACAATCAGCACCTGGCCTAGTATTCACAGCTGATACTGAGCTTCTCCAGTGACTCTTTCCACAGATGTAATCGATCTGATTCCTAGGCATGCCATAAGGTGAAATCCATGTGTACAGCCTGTGTTTATGTTTCTTTTTTTTTTTTTAAAATGTGTTTATGTTTCTTATAAAATGTTTTGTTTTTTTTTTTGAATGAATGAGTTGTTAGTTGTACAAAATTCTATCATTCTATCTCCAGCTTTATTTCTGTCACCAAGTCCATGTTTTCCAGCTACTGATCTTTCTTCTCTATTCCCAACTTTTGCATTCCAGTCACCCATTATTGGTAATGCATCTTGATTGCATGTTTGATCGATCTCTGACTGCAAAAGTTGGTAGAAATCTTCTATTTCCTCCTCTTTGGCTCTGGTTGTTGGTGCATATATCTGAATGATGGTGGTATTCACTGGACTTCTTGTATGCATATGGATATTACCCTGTCACTCACAATACTGTATTTTAAGACAGATCTAGAAATTACTTTAACTATGAAGGCAACCCCATTTATGCTCATCTTTTCATTTCCAGCATAGTAGATCATATGATCCTCTGACTCAAGTTGTGCCCAAGAAATCTGAAGGACAACCACCTGCTCAACTGACTGGAAGAGATCTATATTTGTTCTTAACCCAAAGAAGGGTGATCTGACAGTGTGGAAATTATTGAACAGTATCACTGATACCACATGCAAACAAGATTCTGCTGAAGATTATCCAAAAAACAATTGGAACAGAACATCAACAGAGAAGTGCCTGAAGTGCAGCTCGGGTTTAGAAGAGGCCGTGGTACTAGGGTTATTATTAGCTAATGTCAGCTGGATCTTAGCTGAAAGCAGGGAATACCAGAGGAACGTCTGTCTATGTTTCACTGATTATGCAAAGGCATTTGTGTAGATCACAACAAACTGTGGCTAACACTGAGAAGAATGGGAATCCCAGAACATTTAACTGTGCTTATTATGTGAAACCTATACTTGGGCAAAGAGCTAGCTGTCAGAACAGAGCAAGGAAACACAGCATGGTTCAAAATTGGGAAGGGTGTGTGCCAAGGATGTGTCCTATCTCCGTATCTTTTCAATGGCAGAACAGATTATCCAGGCGGCTGGGCTCTATGAGAAGTGTGGCATCAGGATTGGAGGTAGACTCATCAACAATCTGCATTATGCAGATGACGCAACCCTGCTTGCTGAAACTGAGGAGGATCTGAAGCATTTGATGCAGAAGGTCAAGGACTGCAGCCTTCAATGTGGATTGAAGACTAACATCAAGAAAACAAAGATTCTCACCACTGGGCCAACTGGGAGCATTATGATAGATGGTGAAGAGATTGAAATTGTTAACAGCTTCAGTTTGTTTGGCTCCATAATCAACACTCTCAGTACCAGCAGCCAGGAAATGAAAAGATGAATTGCATTGGGAAAGTCTGATGTCAGAGACCTCTCCAAAGTACTGAAGACCAATGATGTGAGTCTGGAGACTAAGGTGTGCCTGATACAGGCCATGGTCTTTGTAATTACTTGCTATGTATCAGAAAGCTAGACAATGACTAGGGATGATAGGAGAATTAATGTCTTTGAGCTACGATGCTGTAGAAGAGTACTGAATATATATACCATGCATTGCTAGGAGAACAAACAAGTTCATCTTGGAGAAGGTGAAGCCAGGCTGCTCCTCGGAGGTAAGGCTTCTGAAGCTTCATCTAACATACTTTGGACATGTTACAAGGTGCAATCAGTTCTTGGAGAGGGATGTCATGCTTAGGCAGGTGGAGGGACAGTGCAGCAGAGGAAGGCCCTCTATGAGGTGGACTGATTCAGTGACTGGGGTAATGGAGGTAGGTGTGTTGGAGACAATAAGATTGAACAGGACAGAGCAGGATTTAGGGCTCTTGTACATAGTGTCGCTATGTGGCACAGGCAACTTGACGGCACACGATGACGACGACAACAACAACATAAAGAAAGAGACTCTGCTTAGGAAGTTTGGAGTCTGCACCACGAGCTTTGGGCTCTTGGGTCCAAATCAGGATCTCACAGCCTGGGCTCTGACCCTTGGGGCCAGAAAGCTCTTTTGTGGGGTCTATCCTATGTACTGTTGGACACTGACAGTAACCCAGGGTTCTACCCACTGGCATTTCCTCAGCTGTGACAACCAAAGTCACCAGATTACCAAACGTCTTGTGGGGAAGAGGAAAAAAAAAAAAAAAAGCCTTGATGGAAACCAAGGCTCCTGTACATACTCAGATTGTTCTTGTTGTTGAGTAACATCAAGTCAGAACCAACCTATAGCTGACCCTCCAGCGAGTTTTCAGTCAGTAATGTGCAAGGGAGGAGACTGTCCATTTTTTCCCTATGGAGCAGCTGGTGGATTCAAACCACATACTTTTGGCTTAGCAGTCTAAGTTGTTACCACTAAGCCACTAGAACTCTGTACTAATCACTCAGTGACCTTCTACTGGGTTTCCAAGGCTGTAAATCTTTATGTGAGAAGAAGCCTCATTTTTCTCCTGCAGAGCACCGGGTGGATCCAAACCACTGACCTTTTGATTAGTAGCACAACACGTAACACACTATGTCACCAGAACTTTTCTAGTGCCACCATAAGAACAGAAAAAGGATACCAGCAGTGGTAACTTTTCAAGGTTTGTCTAAGTGGAGGCTTTAAAATAAGTAAGCTCAAGGCTACCCCTGCAACAACCCACTGGGTGTTCCAAAATTCCCGAGACAGATAGCATCTGACCTCTCAGCTGCAGGTATAACAGATGGGCAGTTACAAACACAAGGATCATGCCCCGCACACACGTGGAGCTATACCAGGAGGTGGTCCAGACCTCTGCATTATCTACCAACACTAGGCTCACTCCAGTGGCCGGCCACCTGAGAACTTTCATGACCAAAAGTGGCATACAAATGAGGATGGCAAGTTTGCTGAGCTTTGCCCAGCCAGCCTCTTCTCCTCTGAGAGAGGCTACATCTAGATGGCTCCTTCAGGTAGGAGGCAGTGAATGGAAATTAGACAATATACTAACCAAGCAGTCAATGGCCTAGTTGGTGTCAGGGGCGTGATAGACAAGGACAGGAAGGTTGGGGACAGAGATCCGACACGGGTATGTTATGAATCCACAGGAAAGAGTGAAGAAAGACTAAACTCAGGTAGACAGGGATGTCAAGCAGTGCTGATCACTGGCCATCCCCTGGAAGTGGGGTGGGCCTTGACAGTGAGTGATGGAGCTGTGTCCATGGGAACCTACCCGCACAGTTAGGTGCCCCAGTGCTAAACAATGCCTCTGAGTATTTTTAAAGTCGCTAACCAACTGCACAAGGTGAAATGTGGACTTAACAGGACTGGATGCTCATTCCAGGGGTAGGGTGCCTTTCCTGCCTCAGGTCCTCAGCCCATACTACGCTAAGCTTATGAATGATGTGCTTCTCTGGCATGGGATTCACCATCGCCAGGATTGCCTCAGAACAGAGATCTGCTACATAGCACAGGGAGTACAGACTGGACTGACCCTGGAAGCAGCTTTAAGAAGATGAGGGCCATCTTTCAATTCATAGGACACTGAATCAGAAGCCTACATTTTGATCCACTTTCACTGATCTCTGTGACCTACTAAGGAATCTTCCATTATCTGTCCTTTTAACAATAGGCTCCTCTGGGTCCAGAAAAGGCATACGTTTGTCAGCAGACACAGAATTTCATCTCAAGAGCTAACTGGCCTTGTTATTCACAGATGCTGACTACCCACAGTGAGTGTCCACTTCTGGGAAACCCAATCCATGACACTTATATTTTAAAAAAGTAGGAATGACAAAAGCCAGAGTATAAACACATACAATTATTATGAAAGGCTTAAACAGGTAAAAGGGAGCTCAGGTGGCCAAGTGGTAAAAAGTTGTGCTGCAATCCCAAAGGTGGGCAGTTTGAATCCATCCGTTGCTCCACAGGAGAAAAGATGGGTAAGTTCCTCTTGTAAGAGTTACTGCCTCTGAAAATGCCAAAATCCTGAAATCTGGAGGGTGAGCTATAGGTTTGTTCCAACTCCATGGAACACAACAACAATAATCCAGTTGTGTGCATTTTTTTTTTTAAAGTACCTAGGAAAAACCCTCTTTAGGAAGTTATTTTGTTCTTTCATTTGTTCTCTAAAAAGTTACTAGCATTTCAAATAGAGTATTTAAGAATATATTAGTGTTATATACACACAGTCTTCTCAGGAAATGAGGTGCTTCTGCAAATGATGCAGAATAGTGCCAATAAATAGTCTCTGCATCAACATATGGAAAGTACCTACAATTTAATACATTATGAAAAACTAAAGAAATGATTATGTTTGATGGAAAACTTAACAGAATGACATTTTACATTTATTTAGAAGAATAATAACCACATGTCTTCAAATTTTCCAGAAAAAATTTTTGGTAATAGGTACTCACTGATGCTCCTCCCATGATCTTGGGAAACATAACTGTGGAACAGCCATCTGGGCTCTGTCCAAAGGTGGTGTAGGGTGTCTGAAACCAAGCTTTCTCGTTGGCCCAGACCACATCACAAAGAGGCAAGATAGATGCTCCTAGTCCAATGGCTGGGCCATTTACTGCTACAATTATAGGCTTCTTAAACTGTATGAAAGTATTCACGAAGTTTCTAAAATGAAACATACATGAAGAGTTACTCAAACACTGCACTCATGAGCAGAAGCAAAAAAAAAAAAAATTCCACCATTTTATAATTCAATTTACTAAGATGGAAACTGTGAGAACCATTAAGAAGAGCTGAGCTATTTAAGATCTTCCTGCAACTGTGGACCATGTATTTTCTTCATGTTATAAATAAAGTTTAATGTATCTGAACACCAAACCTCACGTATAAACCGGCTTGACCTATGTGAAAGCCAGAGGCTGTTTTTATATCTGTAGCTTGGGCTTTTTGAAGACCAAAACATTTTGGTCCTTACAGTTCCTCTTTATGAGATATAAGGAGCCAGATACACATTTTGGGTTTTTGATATTCAGTCAAGAAGATAAGCCAGGGAAAATGAGGCTTGAAGCATACTAGCAATGCTTGTTTTAGGATTAGACTGGAATGCAGGCTATTTCTCAATTTTGGGCAGGTTGATGCCTCTGAGACTGTCTATCTATGCAACTTGGATCTTCCATTCAAAGGCTGTTTCTTGGTGTGCTGTAACACAGTGGAGAAGCAGCCAGATAAATACATCAAAACAAAGACAGTCTGTTCCAGATTGTTAATTGTCACATATGTCTAACTGTCCATTCCTTTCAGATTTTTCTTCCTTTCACCTGTGGTGCAGTGTTCATTACCTATACATTTTCCCCCCTCTGTTAACAGGACAAGCATTACAAATTAAATATGTGGAAGGGTAGAGAGGGAAATGTGTATGAATAAAAACCAATCTCTTTGTAAACATTCATGAAAATAATAGTAGTTGTTGTTGTTAAGTGCCATCGAGTTGCAGGCGACTCATAGCGACCCTATGAAGGAGAGTCCTCAACGCTTGGGTGTCTCTCATCCTCTCTCCAAGGTCATAGGGTTTCCGGAGGCAAGCTCTTACGGAAGTGGATGCCACTCCTCCTTCCAAATAATAGTAGTAGTAGTAATAATAACGCTAAAAAACAAAAACAAAAACAAAAACAAACAACAAACCAAGGTCCAAATTCAAACTTAGAAAAATAAGGACTAAGTAGCACTCTTCACACACAAGATTTTGGGTCTGTGCCCATCGTCAGCATTGAGAATAACAATTTAGGTGTGCTCTAAATTTAGCAGTTTAAAAGCAGACAAATCTGTTCTAATTTTCTCTGAAAGTCATGAGTTGTAGGCATCTTAGATAGTCCTATCACTCCTCATATGACACCAACAAAGAGGGTGGTTGGTATATGTTTATGTGTGAGAGAGAGCTATTTGAGAGGGCCAGGTTATAGGTATGGAGATAGGTATACATGTGTGATGAACAATGGAGGGAAAGGAGAGAAGAGTGAAGGGCTTAACAGCCAGCTCTGCAGTCTCGCTCTCAAAGATGCCCTACAGCCCTGGAAGCCCTCCTTCCCCAGCTCTGCTCCTCAAGGCCTGTAGGATCTTTTCACTGAGTGAGAATTAACTCATTCAAATGAATGAGTTGCACTAAGACTTTCTAAATGAGAGAGCCTGAGGCATTGTTAGAAAGATCACACCGGGTTTTAATGATACAAAGAGAGCCAGACAACCTTTTAAGTAGGCTCTTGAAATAAATGCAGACAACCTACATCAAGCTACTTCAGTTCTGCCACCTTTTGAGGAGTCTGGGTCAATGACACATGATGAAACATTTCCTGTCTTGGTTATGGAGACAGTTATTCTTGATGAGGTAACTGCTGAAATCGGCTCTTATAACACAGAGCAGATGTTGTCCAACTACAATTCCCAGAACAGTTCTACTTTCTCACAGAAGCAGGGTACCATATAACAACTGTTCCAGTGCTAAAAACATCTGGAAACCACTGATGGGGTTGGCGGTTAACATAAAGTTGTCAAACTCAGGGCAATAATAAAACAATTCTAATAGAGAAACATTAAAATAATTAAAATGCTTCTTGTGGTAAACTTTCACCCTTCATCTGACAATAAATGTTATGTTTATAGAAAAGGATTAACAATTTGTTTTAAAAATAGGCATTACAAAAGCACAACTTGAGATTTTAAAGGACTGGAGAAACTTTTTTGAAATGAAATTCTTCCCATCTACCCAAATCAGTTTTGTTAGAATGAAGAGATGGCGCTTCTACTTACTGAATCTGGATAAAAGTGTCTTTGAGGACTTTAGCTGAGGACTACAGCTGAAGAGCATGTGAACTATCCTGAAGGTCAGCATCAGTCTTTTTTAGAAGATAGGACTTGTCATTTTCAAGTTTAAGCCAATGGCAGGAATGAACGTGGTCCCCAAATAAACCAACTTGACCCTGGAAGTCTGGCCAAACCTACCCTGCTACCCTGGTGGGAGGTGGAAGTGGAGGCCTGGTGCTGAAGGAGGGCCTGGTGTCTGCTTTTACAGAAAAAAGCAAACTCAAACTCAGAACTGACTCTAAGGCTGTAAATGGTATGGGAAAAGCAAGCTCATTTTTTTCCCTCTTGGCGCTGCTGGTGGGTTTGAACTGCTAGAAGCACCACTTTTGGGTTAGCAGGGTAACTCCCTATGGATTCAGTTACCAGTATAGAAGTATCTTTTACACATTACAATGAAAATGTCTGCAAATTCAAATACACACAATGCAAAAGGAAGAATTTAAATATTCGTTTCCTTTGAGATATTAGGATTTAACACAATACTATGTCTATTGAATTAAAGTCTACTAGGTATATTGTTGCTGTTAGGTAATGTCAAGTGGAACTCAGCTCACAGTGACCCTATGAACAGCCAACCCTGCAACCTGCCCTATCTGGCACCATTCTCATCATCTCCGAAACACTCAAACTCCCTGCTAAAGTCATCGTGTCAGTCCATCTCATTGATATTCTTCCCCTCCTTTGCTGATCCTCCATCTTTCCAAGCATGTTGTCCTTCTCCAATGAAGAGCCTTGCCTAGCTATAAGTGCAAAGAATGAAAGCTTTGTCATCATTGTCTCCAAGGAGCATTCTGGCATTACCCTCTCCAAGACATACTGGTTTGTTCTCTTGGCAGTTCATGGGATATTCAGCACTCTTCTTCAGCATCACAACACAAAGGAATCACTTGTCATCCTTATTCATTTTCTAGCTCTCTGATGTGCAGCAGGCGACTGATAATAAAAACCATGGCTCGAATTAGGTACACCTTAGTCTTCAAACTGACATCATTACTCTCTGGCACTTAGGAGATGTCGCTGTCAGTGGTCTTGCCCCATGCAATACATCTTCTGGTTTCTTGACTGCTGGTATCAATGATGGTGACTGTTGATCTAAGCAAGATGAAATCATTGGCAGCTTTAATCCTTTCTCCATCTATCGTAATTCTGTTGGCCCTGTGGTGAGGATGCTTTTTTGATGTTGAGATGCAATCCATACATAGGCTGCAGTCCTTGATCTTCTGTGGTGCCAAGTGCCTCAAGTTCTCCTCACTTTCAACAAGCAAGGTTGTCATCTGCATAACACAGGTTATTGTTGAGCCTTTCTCTGATCCTGATGCCAACATTCTTCCTCATAGAACACAGACTCTCAAATTATTTACTCAGCATACAGACTGGAGAATAGGTATGGAGAAAGGATACAACCTGGATGCATTCCTTTCTTAATTTTAAACCATTTAGTCTTTCATTGTTTTTGTTCAGACATTCCTCTAGGTTGTATAGCCCTGCTGTACAAGTTGCTGTCCCGTGGTCGCTTGTGGTTGCTGTGAGGCTAAACCCTGTGACACGGATGTGTCAAATGCGTTAATGGTTGGCTACCCAATGCGGACTGAGAGTGGGGTGGAGCTCCCTGATTAAACAAGCGTGGAAGGAGGAGTGGCATCCACTTCCGTAATAGCTTGCCTCCGGAAACCCTATGAACTTGGAGAGAGGATGAAAGGCACCCAAGCGTCAAGGACTCTCCTTCATAGGGTCGCTATGAGTCGCCTGTGACTCGACGGCACTTAACAACAAGTGTTCCCTTGCTCTGCTCGCACAACAGCCTCTTACTTTAGGTACAGGTTTCACATGAGCAAAATTAAGTGTTCTGAGGTTCCCATTCTTCTCAATATTAGACATAATTTGTTATGATCCATACAATCAAATATCTTTACACAGTCAATAAAGGACAAATAGACATTCTTCTGGTATTCTTTATTTTTCAGCTAGAATCCATCTGACATCAGCAATGACACTCCTGATGCTACACCCTCTTCTAAATTCTGTTTGAATTTCTGGCAGTTCCCTATCTATATACTTACTGTTGTAGCAATTTTTGCATGATTTTCAGTAGAATTTTTCTTTCATATGATATTAAGGATGTTGTTTGGTGATATTAAGGATGTTGTTTGGTAGTGTCTACATTTTGTTGGCTCATCTATTTTGAGAATGGGGACAAATATGGATCTCTTCTACCCAGCTGCCAGGTAGCTGTCCTCCACATTTCCTGGCAAAAACCAGTGAACTCATCCAGAGCTATATCTGTTAGAGGAAACTTGGGAGCTGGTATCCCATCAATTCTTGGGACCTTATTTTTTGCTAATGTTCATTGCAGCTTGAATTTCATCTTTCATTATCATTGGCTTTTGCTCACATGGTAGTTTCTGAAATTTTTGGTGCAGTAATTCTTTGTATTTCTTCCTTCATCTTTTGATGCTTCCTGGATCATTCAAGACTGTGCCCACAGTATCACTCAGTATTGAAACTTTAGGCTTTGTTTTTCAGTTCTTTCAGCTTGAGAAATGCTGAATGAGTTCTTCCATTTTTATTCTCTGCCTCCAGCTTTCTGCACATATCATTACAATATTTTAGCAGCATGCACACATGCACCAGCCCTTTAAGGGACAGCACAATCAGGGTCACTGGTCTCAACCCAATGGGGTAAAGACCTCTCATTCAGGGAAGGCAATTGTCATCATCCAGACAGCTCATGGCTCCAACAGGCACCCCAAAAAAGCATCAACTAAATAGACATGCAATAAATTTTCTTTTAATTACTAACATGCTGAGTATTTTAAGATAACTGTTTAGCAAATTAGTTATTTTTACAGTTTATAACAATTCCAGTAACAATTAATTATAGCACTAGTTAACTTACAAGCTACTGTTTAAGTAAATCTTTCCCCTTCCCTCCTTTTCTTATGGAAACTTATTGGAAAATAAAATTTCATGAGATTTGACATATGACTAAAAACTATATGCATGCATAAATATACATACAGCTGACCCTTGAACAAAATGGTTTCGAACTGCTCTAGTCCCTGTATACTCTAATTTTTTTCTTGTTGCTACTGTGCTGAACACAAGTGTTACTATCATCCCTGTGGAGTTCCTTTCCCTGGAGAGAGGAACTGTTACGGGGAGATGACTAGTGTTAGTTGGCATTTACGTGGTACCTGAACATTCAATCCTGGGAAGTTCAGATCTGTGTTGTTCAAGGTCCACTCTAAATTACAAATGGGTTTTCTATTGCATAGGAGGTCGCCTCCTAACCACCATATGTGTGTATGTGTAAGCATCTATGTGTATATGCAGGTATGTATAAAAATAAGACACACGGAACACTTATTTGTTTAAGCCTATCTTATACATGTAAAAATTAAATGCAAATGCGCACAAGTAAATACGATGTGAATCCAGCATAACGCATTATTTTTTTATCTTGCATTTATATTTTTTATATTAAAAAATAAAATTTATGACTGGTACAGACATACATACTTAAACGAACAACTGACTTTTCCTAAAGTTTTTTCCTAGAATTCTAATTCAGGGCTTTGGGACAGGGTAAGCGAAAATGGACTGGAATGGAGAGTTGGTAAAATTAAACATTCAAAGTTACCTCAGACTCCAACAAATTAGGATCTCTACTTAAATCTCTGCTTTTACTTGAATTTTTCTTGGTTTATCTTTCTTCTGCTCTGCTTTTTTCTAAACCCCGCTATCAAAAGCTTTATCCTTGCCAAAGACAAATCAACATGCAGCAGTAGGCAGAACTAGGGCCGAGAACTAGTCAGAAATGGTGCCAACTGGAGAAACTTAGCAGGTGAAAGCTGAGTCAGAATTTAGACAAGGGTGGCTGACAAATCTTAGGTTCTTACCAGAGCAGTTACTAAAAGGCACAGTTTTAGGAATAAATCTAGTGAGATAAATAATAGAAAATAAAGTCATCACATGAGGCACTATAATGAGGATGGTTTTTGGGACTGAGAAATAAAAATGAAACGTATGCAATTCACCCTGAAAGGATAGGGTAGGCTAGTAAGCAGGAAAATCTACAAGCAGTCTGAGAGATATAAACATTCTTTCATTGGATCAGTGAATTAAGCAATTTCATGTCAAAATAACAAAATGGCCCCAATCTATAGAGTCTACCTCAAATTTTAAGTTTTTCAGGAAGTGATAAAGAATACTTAACAGAATCAGATTATAATATTACAAACTATTTCTGAAAAGAAAATAAAACAGCCTAAAAAAGTAGTGATGTTTACAAGGACCAAAAAACTAGACTGTCTACTAAATGCAGGTATACAGTGGACAGTGAGAAAACGTCAGAAAAGGCCAAAGTCCCCTAACTCCCAGGTATGGGGTTCCAAATTTACCTTGATGGGCTGTTTAGGAGAATGCTGTTAGATTCATCACAGAGGCTGTGTCAGAATAGACATGCTTGTCAAGCAAGGATGACTAAAATAGAGAAAGAATCTGGCCTCTTCCTCTGTAGCCCTGGCTGGACCAGCAAGGTCTACCTCCCAATGTCCTTGATGCCTATGACTCAGCCGGGTAACCTCTGTTCACCGAAGCTACCAAAAGCAGCTCTATTTCCAGTCTCCAAATACTTGGAGCTCTTGGAGAACATCCAACCATTTCTTTTGCCATTTTGTTTCTTTTTGAATTATGTCTCTAAAAAATTTTAAATATCCGTAAAAAGAATTCTTATGGGTTGAGACATGCCATTTGAAGTGAACAGAGATAATGAAACAGGTCTTTCTGGTTGGTGATTGGTTTCATTTAATTTAAATAAAAATTATTTCTCAAAAATGTGACAGTTTTAATTATAATTTACACTGTGAGGGATATAAATAAAATATACATATGGATATAATGCATAACAGATTTAAGTGGTTCTCAGGAGACTTTTTTGCCTTGTTATAACAAAGGTAGTGATAAATCTAGTAAGTGGGGGGAAATACTGTAAAGTTATACTGTTAAGTGAAAAAAAAGCACATTTTGAAATAAGACAGCATTAACTGTATTTATCAACAGAACTAAAAAGAAATCGAAAATATTTGTATACAACCGTATATATATATGTGAAAATGCCAGGAGAGAGATACAAATTACCAGGTGATTACTTTGCGTTCTTAAGAAGGGTACCTTTACTTTTTAGTCCTTACTATCTGACTTCTTGCATAGTAGGGCCGTTAAGATGAGCTTGAACAAGAACATTTATTGCTTTTATTAAAAATATATTTTCATGTGATGCTATTACGGAGTTGATGTAGGTGCTGTTGAGTTGACTAAACTCATAGCAACTCTATGAACAATGGATCTGAGCTGTGCCCTATCCTGCATCATCCTGGATCTGTCCACTGTTACAGTCACTGTGTTAGTTAATCCATCCTGCTAATTCATTGGGAATCGTGCAAGTGTTAAGTCACTATTTAAAAAAAGGGGAAAACCCTCCCCACCCAAAATTTTAAAGAGTTGAAAACAAATGCATCACAGAGAGGATCTATGGAATACATTGCCATGCACGGTAACCTTTAGAACATTCACTGAGCACTCTCTGGGCTTAAGCCAGCCTTGAAATCAGTTATTAGCCTAAGGCAAGTAGTAATTTATGGCAGGCCCAGGGAAATGACAGATAACTTAATTAATCTTGCCACCAGGTCTCTCAATGGAAGATGGGCATTTTATTTACAAAGCTTGGAGGGCCTTTTTATGCGGGAATATGAATTGGGGGGGGGGGGGAGGAAACCTCCCCAAACAATTCCCTTCTACATACCTGATAGCTTCCGCCATCTTAGTGCTTTCTCTTTTTCGATCATCTGTTAAGCGCCGTATAAAATAAATAAAGTCGAGACCGCAGCAGAAGACACTGCCCACAGCGCTGAGCAGCACGAGCTTGCTGTCGTCAGCAGCAGCCGTGTTCAGCGCACTTTGGACCTCCTTCATCACCTGAAAGCCACCAGAAGTTAAAGCGGTAAAAGGATATTTTGCATATAAATTCTAAAAGCATTTTATCATTGGTAATCTGGTTTCCACAGAAAACAAACATTCACAGACTGGTACTGCCTGCGTTCCTGCCCCGAGTACTAACTTTAAACTATTTGCAAATTTCTTATTTTCTATTATCTGAGGTTGGAAACACCAGGGGTAGAGTAGAAGTGTAATTACTTCTAAAATACAACTAGAAAAGTAATACAGAGTGTAACTAGATGGGAACTGAAGTTACCTTAATCCTCAATAGTCCCTGAGGTTCTCAACAGATAATACAAGTTACTTGCTTGCTATAGTCACTTGACATTTCTACAGTCTGAACAGCAGGTGGCACATTCAACCAGTTCAAAGAAACTAGTTCAGCTCCTATTTTTAATTTTTGTTTTTTTAAAACCAGCCTACCATACTTACAGCAGAAACCGAAATAGTTCAGTGCATAAGTAGATTAAACACAAGTACATGAACATGGAAGGGTGGCTTTAGAAGGGCACAAAACCATTTTTTAAAATTATCTCTATGAAGCATTTAAAAATAACCAACCCAGCAGGGAGGCAAAAGGACTGTGCAGTCCAAAATTGTACTCGAAACCAGCCATGAGGAATTTGCTATGTGACCCTGCTCAGAAACACAGTTTGGTTCTCTGGTCTTGGAAAAAAGGTAACTTGGCTTCTCTCACATGGAAAAGCAGCAACAAGTAGAGCTTAAAATTTTGGTAAACATGGTGTAGGTATAATACTCCAGTCTCCAAACCTCTCCATGCCCCACGCCCCTTCTCTTCCTTTAGCTGGGCAGTTTACTGGACAGGCATCACCAGCAGAGCACATGTGAAGTCAGTTGCTCTGCGCTCTGCTTCCGTGCTCAAGAGTATCCGAAGACTGGGACAGACGAAGTGTGCTGATGGGGCTGGGGCCCAGGCATGGCTATATGTCTGGGCAAAGAACCCATCAAGACTTTGATGAACTACAGGAAAGCCTATGCATACAGCGCTCTGTGATTTAGGGACCTCTTCACCCTCCAAACAGAGCATCTGGACAAAGACACAGCACCACCATTCGCCATCACAGCAGCAGTGGGGACACACTGGCCCAGGAGGATGAAGATGGCACACTGTCCCAAGCTTGCTGTGGTCACACACCCAACAAATGTCTCCTGTTTTCCGCTTTCTGGCAAACGGTGGCCAGGCTCAGCAGGAGATTAGAAAGAGCACAAGAGAGAGTGCTGCCTCAGTCAAGAAGCACTTGAGCGAGCCCCAATAAGAGGGTCTGCACAAATAATACCACCAACCACCCCAAAGAATGGTCTCTCACCTCTGGATTTAGTGAATTATTCTCTGATGATTTTGTTGATAATAAGATGTGGGTGAAACCATCCTGCTTCCTGACGACAATATCTCTGTATCTGTAGGCACTTTCTGTTTGCCTCACACTGAAACGTAACCGCTTGTCAAAAGGCTGGTCTCTTCTGTCGTCAATAAATTTCCTTTTCCCGGCTGCCACTCCCGTAACGGATGTCTGTATGTTGGTTGTTCCACTGGCTGTTAATGCATCCATAAATGGAGATGTACCTGCCAAGAGTTTCAAATCACAGTAGTCTGTGATGTCCTATCACCAATCCATTCCCCAGGGTGCTCTTTGAATGAATATAAAAATGCCCAGAAATCCAAGACTTAATGTAGTAACCTAAGAACATTATAATTTAGAACCTTCAAAAACTCTGCTTTTAAAGGCTTTGGCTTTCCTTCAGAGTCTAACAAAGTTTTAGCTAGTCTAAGATGGAAAGGTCTTTACTGAAAAGAAGTTGCAATGGGCCTCATACAAAGTAAGTGTCTGTTCAAAGTTTGAGAAGTTGGAAGGAAAACTTTAAAATACAATACTCTATTATTAAAGTAGGGTCATCCACCATCTACTGAAAGCTCCTTTTCCTGAACGAAAGGCAAAGCAGTTGCCTCTGAGACAATTCCAAATCCTGACAGCCCTGTGTGTGGCAGTGTAGATGCTAATTCCTTCTTATGCTGCTCTGGAATGTAGTAATTTACAAAGTCCATTTTGTGGTCTCACAGACTTTTAGGGAATTGGTAGAAATAATACTACACATATTAAATTTCAGAGTTTCAATTAAAAAGATTTTTTTTTAATTTTAGGTTCTAATATACGCATGTAGTTCATGTATATTGAAAGATATATGGTAAAAGGTCTCCCTCTGCCCTTCTCACAACAACTGGGGCTGGTTTCTTTTGTATCTTTCCAGAATTCCTTTCTGTACATGCCAAAAATGCAAAAATCTATCTATCTCCCTCCTCACCTCCTAAACGGAGTAGCAGTTGTGGTATAGTAAATTGCTTAATGTGATTTTTCTAATTCCTACCCACATGGCTGGGCAGGAGTATTCAAATGTGAGGTGGGTATGGCGGCCCATCAGGGGGACTGAACAACTTGCTAATAATGTAAATGATACCATTTTCGGGTGGAGCAATGCAAACCAGAAGTATGGAATGCTAACATGGGGAGCGAATGGTTAGATTTGTCATCCTGTTAGGCTTAAAATGATCCATCCCAGAGACAGAAAGGGGGAACTTGCCACCCCATCAAGTAAGAGAAGCAGTGACTGCAGCATGACCTTCGAAACGTAGATCCCTGTGCCGAAATGCCTCTGATCCAGGAGACAGAGAGCTAGAGAGATGGCATGAGGGGAGGAGATGGCAGCAATAGTGGTAGAAACCAATAGGCGACAGGGCTGTGGTTTGGTTCTTGGCTTAGCTGAAAGAGTTTGGGGAAATATGGTGGCATGGGTGCCTTTGGTCATTTGTTAAGAAGCAAGGTTTTCCAGCCTAAGGAGGGAGCTAGAGGGTGAAGAATCTTTGTGCTTAGGCTTGTTTAATAATTTGCCGTGCTATTTTTGGGGACCAGTCCTTGGATAAAGACATCACACTGGGAAATGCGGAATGTCAGAGAACAAGAAGGACCCTCAAAAAGATAAGACTGAAATAGTGACTCTAATAATAATGGGTGTGAGCCTATCAGAAATGGTGAGGATGGCCCAGGATAGGACATGGTTCAGATCTGTTAAAAGTGCTATTTAATGCTGGTCCCCCCAAAGGGCAGACACCAAGGCTTTGAGTATGGCTGAGAAGCTGTCTTGATAGAAGATCTGTTTCTTGAATTGCTCCTAACCTTGGATTGTATGTTATTATTTCCCTAAATAAATTCCATAACCGAGTATTTTGAGTTTTGTGTCATTTTAACACATTACTAAACCCAATAGAGTGTGTGCTGTGGGAGAAATAGTTCATATCAGGGTTGACAGGAAAGGACTGGTGCATAAATGTATATGGTCATCCCACAAGAATCAGCTGGGGACTGACTGTTGATCATGATTCGCTCTGTGTGAAGTCAGAGGTCAGATGCTGCTGCCCTTTCTAACAGGCCCCAGTAGTATACTCGGCCTACTGTCGTCTTGTTCTATCTTGCTTTTTCAGTCATTTGATGGAATCTTTATTGGTACACTTTCCTTATTCTTTTCCAAGGTGACTGCTTATGGGGAGGTGCTAGAACTCATTTTACCAACCCACACTGCAATAGCATCCAGTGGATTTTTTTATATCAGAAGCGATGCAGAATAAGGTGGTCAATGAACAGTTTGTCCTGGAGAGGGTGAAGCCAGGCTGTTCCTTAGAGGCAAGGATTCTGAAGCTTCGTCTGACATACTTTTGGACATGTTGCAAGGAGGGACCAGTCCTTGGAGAGAAACGTCATGCTTGGGAGGGTGGAGGGAGAGCAGGAGAGGAAGGCCCTCGAGGAGATGGATTGATTCAGTGACTGAGGTAATGGGGGTAGGTTTGTTAGAGACAGTGAGACAGGCACAGGATAGGGCAGAATTTAGGGCTGCTGTACATAGGGTCGCTATGAGTTGCAGGTGACTCGATGGCACACAACAACAACAACAATAACATGTAGTTATTGGCTAATTTACAGAATAAATCCCTAGGAAGTAGTCATAGGTTATATACCTTTTGAATAAAATTGCTCTCTAAAGGATTTACACCGAAGAATACTTCCAATTGAAAAAGTGTTGCATAAATTAATAGCACTTTCTGAAGTACCCAGCAATGTTCTTTTTATCTTTAAGCAGACCTTCTCCTCCAGATGCTGCCTTGTGTTAACTACATTCTTCCATCTCTGCTCTCTTTAATTTACTCCAATGTGTTCTTCTCTGCCATTATCCCCTCTGCTTACCCAATCTCAGACTCACTTGTTCTACACTTGTCATCTCATTTTTGTCCCCCTCCTCCTTACTCAATGTTTTCAATGTTATCAGCTAGAAGAAAGTATGTCCAGGTAACTCCTTGAGTGAAAAGAAAGGTTTGTTCACAGGTGAGTCTGGAAAATCTGGTTTTATCCATGTTGGTCATCCAGGTGGAGAGGCGGCAGAGCTCAGAGGTGGGATGAAGATGCCTGGGTTGGAAGGCAGGAGAGCTCCAAATGGAGGAGAAGGGTGAATAAGTGCTGGCAGGGAGGGAGGAGCTCCATGGTACCAGGACTGGATTGCACAGCAATGAGGACATGTTAATAGTGACATGAACTGCAGAGAGGTGAGAGAACAGAGAATTGATAGGAGGTACAGGTAAGAACCACAGTAGACTGGGGGAAGTTATTTCACTGGAGGGCTAAGGACAGATTACAGAAAAACAAAAGATAAGAAAAAGTTATTAAGTAGGAAATACCCAACTCAAGAAATCGACAAAAGTGTGTTGAGGAATAGATTACTTGAAAACTTCATGTAAATCAAGCTAAAATGAAAAAGAAAGAACCATCAGACTGAGAGTATGGGGAATAAACTCAATTTCATTCTCTTTCTTCCTCATTCCAATCCAGAAGCTGAGTTTAAAATCTCTTAGGAAGTTAAATGACTCTAGAGAAAGACAGCTGCAGATGTGGGAACACTTAACACTCATGTCAAGAGTAACAATTTCCTTCCCTACAAAGAGACCAGATGTGGCAGTCCCAGTGCTGAGGACTCAGATTTGGGGCAGACAGAAACTAGTCCTCTTGGGAAGGGCTCCTCAGAGCACATAGCAGTGTAAGATTCCTGAGAAAGACACCTGCATCTTAAGTTTCTGTTACCATCAACTGGGAGGCTGCCAACCAGGTGCTCTGCAGGACAAAGATGTAGCAGTCTGTTTCCGTCAAGGACACAGCCTGCAAATTCCTGGTGATAGTTCTACTCAGTCCTACAGGGTCATGGTGAGTTGACAGCAGTGGGTTTGTTGGTTTTGGTGCCATGAACAGAATTAACTGGTGTTCCATCAAAACAGGAAGAATGGCTCCAGCGTACACTGATTGCTTCTCACCAGGAAGGATCTCATGCTCAAAAGTTCTTGATTTATTTAAAAAGCCCCCTTTGTGTAATCTCTCCAAGTACTTTCCTCCCATGGAAGAAAGATTTCTAGACTAAGCAATCCATGCAGCCTTTGTATTTGAACTTTAAACACTAAGGAAAAGTGCAGCATTCCTTTGAGGCACAAGTGTCCATGGAGCTATCCATGGTTCTGCAAATTTTTTTGGCTTATGCTGGCACAATAGTTTACCTTAACTTTTATGCTCCTGTGTTAGAACTGTGTAGCCTTTCGCCAATTTAAGACTTTTGTGACCTCACAGGTGTCAAGTCCTCTGTCTGCTCCAATGATTCACAGGCCCCCTGTTATCAATCTACCCTTGATCATCTGACATTCGATCATGCACTATTCTAGATACATAAATCATGCACTATTTAGACACAGATAAAATAGGGCTACGCAGTCTTTCAATCTTTAACTGCCAGCACTGAGCTAGGTCCTGCCTCTCAGTACTTCTATTTCTATCCCCCTGACCAGGTTCCCTACTATCTAACCTCTAAGGTTTGTGACAACTTGGGAACTCCTCTGTCTGCCTAGAATGTTGTTTCCTAGAGTTTCAAATGCCAGCGCCTAATGTCCATCAGGACCCAAAATGTCCAAATGTTACCTCCTTTAATAAGCATGTCTAATCTAGTTATCTAATTCCAGTCAAACAGCCTCTCTTCCTATTACCCAGGCTCATTTCTTCATAGTACTCCTCACCAGAGTTACATCCCCCCCCCCCCCCGATTTGACTTTTGGCTTAGGATTTATTATCTGTCTGTTCCACTGAGCTTTGTGAAAGCAAGGTTCTTCGTTTATCTCACTCACTAATGCAAGGCCAACGATTAGAATACTCAGTAACTATGCGTCAAACACAGATAGAAGGATCTAAACCTTCATTTAATTTAGTTCCTTAACTTTATACAAGCTAGTGACTTGCCAAATCACAGTTTACTGTCTTCAGCTAATCCAGGGACATTTGCTACACAAATGGCAACTACTGATATTCAAGGAAAAAAAATTATCCACAATATAAAATGTATAGCAGTTCAAAGAGGAGTGAGAGGTGTCTGAATGACCTGGATTTAGAGCTTACTCAAGATTATCCTAAGTAATCTCTGGTGTTCTGGATGGCTGCTGTTGTTGTGTACTGTAGAGTCAGAATCGGTCCAGAGCTGACCTAGTGAGTT